GGCCTTGTTGGTAGGATCAGTGGGGTTGTAATTGTATGATGGTACTCCTGAGAAAGCCCACTCTCTTAATCTATAGGTTTATATCAACTTTCGCTTGATGTTTTAAAACATTTATAAACAAGCAAATTTATGTAAGAGAGTTATCAGAAGAAATTAATATTGTGGTGTTTGCTGACTAGTTTAAAACAGGAAAAAAACCAAGGGAAAGCAAAGCATACACAACTTTTTGCTAGCAAGGGTTACTCCCTGCTTGAAGTAGCCTTGTGCAGGATTTGCTTTTTATTGCTCTAGCTTTATGTTTAGACATGAGATTGCTGAACTGTGACTGGCTATTGTAGTTCCTGAATTCTGCCCCTTCAAATGAATTCATAAGTTGAAGAAGTTTAATTTCAGCTTCTACAGTTCTATAGAAATTGCTTAACTTGTTCTCTGTGGCTTTGGGCATGAGCCTCATTGAACATGAATCTTTCTGTATTGTTCTTTCCTTAGTTCAAGCTTTGTGCCAGTAATAAATAACTTAACAGGAAACTTAAGTTCAGACAGCCTTTTAAGCTAGGCCTCTTTGAAAAGCCCAATATGACCATTTCTAAAATTGCCTATAGCATCAGTATATTGGTGACACCTTACTCTGCTTCACCATTACATTCATTACATCTGCGTCAGGAGAGGCTGTGTACCTGCAATGTTTCTTGATGCTGTTGTGAGCTGGATGAGAGAACTAAGCTGAAGCTGAATACTGATGAAACAGTGGTACTGTAACCATGTGATTCCCACTCTGTGAATCTGGATGGGATAGGATTTCCTAAAGGAAATAAGTTTTCTGCTTGAGGGAACTCCCGAATCCAGCACTGTCATCAGAGACCCTAGGGACCTCCATGGCTAGGAGTGCCTACTACCAGCTTAGCCTGGTATGGTAACTTCACCCCTTCTTGGACAGCCTGGCCACTGTGATCCATTCATGGTTATCTTGTGATGGATTACTGCAGTGCATTTTATGTAAGGGTGCCTTAAGGGCTTGTTTGCAAGTGCAGTTAGGTTGACTGACTGGGGTGCTTTACTCTGCCAGCTTGCTTCCATGTTATGTTTAAGGTGCTGATATGAGTAGAAAAAGGTCTATACAACTCTGAATCAGGATTCCTGTGTGATGATCTCTCCCCTGAAGTATGCCACATCTCAACACTAGCTGTTGGGAATGAAAGAGGCAGTTGTTCTTGGCACATTTTTCATGGTCAGGGTGATACCAACTCTTCAGATGAAGATGGTGAAGCCTGAGAAGGGAGGCCTGTAGACACAGAAATGGTGAAGGAAGAGGACCTTATCTCAAGGTCACCAACTCCAGGTGTTCAGGCAGACCCAGGGAACTGGCAGGGTTTCGAAGTGCTGGGAGGGGTCATAGGAGTCTGGTCTGATCCTTTACCCCAGGGCATGGTATCAGGAGAGAAGGGCTAGCCAACTAGAGGGCCTGCATACAGCTAGAAGGCTTGCCCATCTCCAGAGGAGCACTTCCAGAGGCATGGAGTCCAGGGTTGCTCAAAAGGAGGGTTCTCAGAAATAGTTTCTAGTTTGAGTTCAATGAACCACACCGTGCATGCTCAGAGATTCTTTCTTTGCTGGCTATAGCTTGCTGCATATACATTGGAAATAAAGAGCTTTTGCTAAAGAACTGTCTGTTGTTTGCAAAGAGAAGGAGGGAACCTAACTCTTGACACTGGCATGCTTTAGGTATATATTATAAACATACATGTTTGTTTTGCCTTTCCTGCAGCCACAAGCTAGCTTTGTACCAACTATTGTACATGTAGGTATGTTTATATGTTTTTATTTGTTGTTACTCTTTTGTATGCTTTCTGGATTTTTTCAAATGAGAAGCAGTATCCAATAAATTATAAATTCAGAAAGTGGAGGCATCTGCTGAAGAGCCTGTGATGATATTGATGCACAGCTGGCACCCGGGTCTTAGCTAAGAAAGTTTAAGTATCTGTTGTTTGGGCTCACAACAGGACCAGCATTTTGAACTGCACTAGGAAACAGACTGGCAGTCAACAACACAGTTTCAAGACTAGCATGTATTGATATGTTCACTAAGTTGATAGCCCAGAAGCTGAAATTACAGAAAAGTCTTCAAAAGCAGTCCCCAGTATAGCTGATCATATTATTCAAATGTGGGTTTCACCATAGCTGATCTGTGACCAGGCATGGGCACAGCTGGCACAAAACTCTTAGGTGATGGAAGCTGCCATTTGGGATGAAGCCACTTGGGCCTCTTCAAGAAAGCTCAATCAGCAAGCCCCTATTTTTATAAATAAATGGGACAAATGCAGGTATTCAAATGGGACTACTGCCAACACATATGATTTGATCCAAAAATTTTCAATTTAAATAAAAACAAACACCAATGCTTAGTTGTACATTTTTTAAAAAATGGACTGGAACTGTTTAAAAACACTGAACATTGTTCTTAGCCAAGTGGATGGAAAAATTATGGTAAATTTACCAACCACAAAGGGAGGTAGAAATCCACTGTTCTAATACTGCAATTGCCAATCACAATATGTATTTCCCCTAAGTTTGCCATAAAGTTACTGTAACTGCAATGCTTCACTGTCTAAGCATTTCATAAAGACAGATGTGATGACATTATGAATGGCTTTTAGGCCTCATAAGTAAGGCAACCCACCGATTCCAACAAGCCAGCTTCATCATAAGAAAACTCAATCTGGACCACTGACAAAGGGAAATATGAGGCAATCGCTTTCAGAAGTGCAAGTACTGAATGAGCAAAATATGCGGCACGTCCCATTTTGCTCCAACCCGATCCTCTCCAACCAAAATGTCATGTCTCTGCGAGGGTGCGCCGCTCTCCGCCGCCTCGCTGCAGGGAAGCGCTCACACGCTCTGCTTAAACGAAAGGCTCCGCACAGCCAAGGAGTTGCTGGCGCGCCCGCCTCTTAGAGGGAGCCCTGCTTTTTTTGCACTGTGATTGGCGACGGTGCTGTCCGTCTTGGACTTCAAGCAGCACTTCCGCTTTAGCTACCTCCGCTTCAAGCTTGAAGCTGGCAGCCAAGGAAGGTTGTTTTGTTTGCCGCAGTTGCTGCCGCTGCTCCTCCTGCTGCTGCTGCTGTGGGAGTCCCGCTGCTGGAGCCCTGACCTGGCGGTGGGAGGACAGAAGCCTCTTTCACAAGCCTCTTGTGAAATACACCGTAAAAAACCACCACCACCACCACCACCACCAGAGCTGAGCTTTCAAACCCTTCCCCACCCCACCCCCCGGCCCATCCCCATTGCCTGAGGAAATAGGTGGGTAATATCTGCGGACTCTGAAACGAGGGGGTGGGAGATCAGCTGCTACCGTTGCCCTCTTCAATGGCTAATTCTTCCTGTGCTTTTGGGAAATGTTATTTATTTTTTGTTTGTCTGCAACTGAGGAAGCAAGCCAATGCTTTGACAGCTGCCTGCTTGGGGTGGTGGCAGGGCTGGGAAGTAGCCTGAGGACAAAACGTGGCGCTGACATGATGCTAGTCACATTTGCCTTGCCTTCCCCTAAGCTGCTGCTGCTGCTGTTACTCCTCCCCCGTCTTTATTTATTTTTATTGGAGCTGTCTGTGGTGTGTGCGCGCGTGTGCATTTAGGCTGCCGGTCCCGGCTGCTTTTGCAGCTTTGCGTTTTCCCAGTGTGACCTCCCGCAGCAGCCCACCCTTTTCTCCTGCCTTTCCCTCCCCCACCCCGGCCCTTGCCAATGTCTGCCTGTAGGAGGTGGAGTTAACTGTAACAGACAAGACACTCCTGCGCCGGGGAACAGGGCTGCCCGAGGCCAGAGAATTTGCAGAAATGCCCAAGAGAGCAAAGCATTTTTCCTCTCCCGAATTCTATCGAGAGAGGGAAAGTGGAACCCCCTCTCACGTCTGTTTCTCCTCTCAGTGCCGGAAAACACTAAAGACGGTGCCTCTGCTTTTGTGCCTCAGCCAAGCTGGCGCATGCTTATGTGTCTGGAGTAAGGTGTGCGTGTGTGAGGGAAAGCAGAGGGGGAACTAAGCGGGAACCCCTAAACTTCCTCTCTATTCTCACAGCTATTGTGAGGAGCGGTGGTCGAAGCGAGAGGGGTCGTATGCTCTCCCTTTTGGTTGCTCCTGGTGTATGTAAGGCCTTTCCGCCTTCCCGTGTGGGTGGGGGAGTAACAGAGGAAACGGTAATATTTACGACCTGCTTTGAGTCATTGTGAGGAATGATATGGGAATGGCAGAGGACAGGACTGATGTTGTGTGCCTCCATCTCACTAAAATCCAGCTATCTTGACTCCATAACGTTGTCGTTCGATCCTCGTTCAAAGGTGTTCCTTAGGAATGTCGTGGGAACGTTACGCTTAGTCCTTAAAACAATATACAGCTCCACAGATTTTCTTGGCGGGCCCTCTATTTTTCTCTGTTACCGCTTCCCCAACCCCCCTGGATCCGTCGTAGAGATAGAGAACTTAAGCCTCTGGGGAGAGGTGTGTTATAAGGAATAGTCCACAGTCCAATTGTACGCTGTAAAATAAGCCCCCTTTATTTCTCGTGAGTATTCATAGGACAGAAAACAAAACCCAAGAGCTTTAAAATATTAGGAAATTCGACAAAATGGGGACTGAAATGTGTTGTGTATAATCCAATGCAATTTACACAGAGGCTTCATGGAATTCATTGGCGCCCATAAGTATGTACAGGAATTTAGCCTTAATGGGGCAAGAACAGTTTCTAAGGTGGCAAGAAGAAACCCACCACAAAAAAATTCAGTTCTGCTTTTCTAAGGTTCTCTGAAAGTGGAGGGCAGGAAGGAGTTATAGGCATCTGTTTCTACAATCCCTTCCTCCAACTGGCCATGGAGAAATGAGTTGAGCTCAAAAAAAAAAAAAAAATCAAAGGAGCCTTTTGAGTAGAGGAAGAGGCGAGGTTGCTTGGGGACGGGGGACAAGGAACACTTCCTTGGCTGAATCCGGAGCTCGAGAATAGGAATACTCCGTTAGGGCTTTCTGCGGAGACTACTGAATTCCTGTGAAGAGATTGGGAAATGGTGTGAGCCGCCCCCAGTCGTGCTGCAACACAGCTCTGTAGTGGCGGCGAAAGGGTGGAGGTGGCGGCGGTGGCGAGGCACAGTTCTAGATCCGCCTCTTTCATTGATGAATTTTAAATTTTTGTGCTTTCTCCCTCTTAACCAGTTTGTCCGAGTCATTTATTTCCTAGAACAGATGTAGGAAGGATCAGGGAGGAATCGGACAGACGCAAAAGCCTCATAGAGTGCCTTTGGTGGCTTTTTGGGGAGGGTGGGTGGTTGTATTCTTATTTCTTTTATTTTTTTTTCATTAAAAGGAACCTTTTCAATTATTGCGAGTTTATGACTGTTAAGTGACAGCTGGGGAAATATTACTCGGAAGAGGAAGGATAAAAAGCTGCCCACTCTCTGTTTTTCTTGTATAATTATTTTTTGAGGGGATTTTTCTGAAATTTATAATCACAAGCATTTATTTTCATAAAGATTCGAAATGTCAGCATTTGCAAAAGGTAAGTGAATGCACAGATGCCTTTCTGAAGTACTTAAAGCTGCATGATACCTGTGGTTATGTGGGGTTTTTTAAGGGAACTATGCTTTGCTCTACAAGCAGTAGCTGTATAGGGGCAGTAGTGATGGTAGATAGTAAGAAGGAATGGGAGTATCATTTGTGCTAATTAAATGTATTATACTCTAGTTCTGAGGGGATGTACAGGTGACAGCATAGCAACAGCAGCAGTTCTTACCTGGTTCCTTTTGCTTGTGTGTGAGTATGCAGGGTTTTGTTTTCTCTAGATACATAAAAACTGCAAAACCGGACTGAAGCGGATGTGGCTGCAAGCTCTGAATCTGGCAAATTACAGAATAGTTCTGTATTGAGTTATGACTCCAGATTTGCTGCACGACCTTTTAGTCAACCTCTTAGGATAAAACATGGATATTAATGTTCAGTTCTGTGTTTGTTGTAAGGTTCAGGTAAATTTTGGCATGAAATCTTTCTGGTAGGCTATGGCTGTCTCCTTCCACTGTCTGAGTACGTGGTCTGATTCACAGAATTCTCTATTGCAAAATGGGGAATAGCTCATAAGAAGACATTTCAGGAAGCCTAATGACTCCAATGCATTGCTGTGGCATTGTCTTTTCTCCATGGAAATATGTATTTGGCAGTGTGTTTATTCTTTTAGATGAAGGAAATGTACCCTTTAATACACCCAAATGTTTGTTAATAAAGGTACTTTGTCAAACAGAAAAGGTTTCAGTACCTGTATGTAAAGTGTGTGGAACACTTTCAACTGAGATTATATATAGAAAGGCAGACTTAGTTTACTAGATGCTGTATAATGTCAGTGCAGTATGGTTATAGAAACTGGTTATAGTATGGTATATAGTATAGTATGGTTATAGTATGGTATATCACAGCATGGCAGGCTGAAAAGAATGTTAAAAGTAGATACGATTGAATTTTAAAGTCAACTATCTGAAAGTGATCCACCTATAACCAATCAACTCTGCACAGCAAAGAGTATAACATTTTCATGCAGTGTCGCAAATGTAAAAGCCTGGCACTAGAAGAAGCCATTTTGCATAAAAATGGTTTTGCTTATATTTGTCAAAGTGCTGGTTTTATGAGAGTCAGAGTAAGTTTGGTAGGGTTTAGAGCATACTCTTGAAGTCTAAGCAATTATAATGTTGTATCTGCTTACCTGTTAGGATTACTCTTATGTGTGAAAGCAGCCCGACCTGGCATTTTCTAATACTAGTTTGGGAAAGTTGAGGTGTTCACAATTCTTCTTTATGGCATTGATGAAATTGTTTGAAACTGTTAGCTTGAACATGATTATTACATGTCCCATCATCAGATCTCAAACCTTGACTTTCTTGAATGCGAATGTTTAAACGTGTCTGGAGGAGTACCCGCTGAGGACATATAATACAAATAATTCAAACTTCTTTGAAGAAGGTGAACATTTTGACTGTCTAATGTATAGTCCTATCAACAAAAGAGTGGGAAAAAGAGAACAAACCTGATCTTCAGGCAGCATGTGTGCTCTTTTCACAGTATATTTGAGGTCTTTAAAAAGCATTAAGTAGCTACAGTGCATTAATTTCAATCAGCTTGCAGAGGGACATGAAACATGCAGTTCTGTGCCCTCTTTCCTGGAAGGAAACCCTGGTGAGATCATTTGGACATATTTCTGAGTAGCCATGCATTGGGTTAACAAATAAGAAGCCACTCTTAACAACAACATCCATGACCATAGCATCATGTATATTATTTTAGGCCTTGATTTTTCAGCTAGTAACATGTCGTTAAACTTGTGTGTAGGACTACAGTTTGTATGGTATGGAGCTTGGGGGAGGAATGAAAAAGATTGGGGCTATTTTGCTATGTTGTAATATCACTAATTGTAATTGCTTTTATAAGTTCTCCCCCAAACTAGCACCATGACTCCCTCCTGTGCTGAGAGTTTGAATTTCAGATTTCAATGTACCATATTGCAGCTTTTCTCAATCTAATGAACTCCAGATGTGTTTGGAGTGGAAGGTACCAGGTTGGGAGAGACTGCTACACATTTAAGTAAATCAGGCTTGGTTTGAATCTTTACTGAATTTTATTTAGAGCCTTCTCTCTCAATTGATAATAACATAGTATTTTGCTTATTGCCTAATGTTTGTCAGATACAACTTATTTCAGGTATTATACTTATGGATTGTATGAAATATTTCAACCAAGTAATTTGACTCTTGGAACAATCCACATGATAGCAAATGACATTAACACTGAGGGTGAAATAGTGACTAAGCTAAAATATATAGCAAAAATTATATTGGTTCAAGAATTGTTGACTTAAATTCTGAATATGTTTAGAAGTAGGGACTATGCTGTAAAATTTTAAATATTTGGTTATGGTAACTTAAAAATTAGTGTCCATAAAACAAAATGGATCTTATGTAGCCAAAGTGAAGTCCTTGTAAGACTCCAATCCTATACAGAGTTATTGCAAGTAAGTCCCACTGATTTGGGTTAGAATTGCTTTGGAATAAATATGATGAATTAGAATGAAATAACCTATTGATTTTAATGAAACAGTGCATGTGCCTAACACTACCAGTGTAATCAATTCTTAGTACTCAGCTTTGGTTGGATAATGCCCAGTGTTCTCCTAAATTCCATGTTTGTTGACATTTACTTCTTTTTCACATGTGCTGTTTACTTGGACAGATAAACTGAGCTTAGTTCACATTAGTAAAATCTCAGACTGTTTACCCAAACACTATTAAATGTTATGCTATAGTATCCCAGTGCTATATTGGGATGCTTGTGAATAGCTATGCCACAATTAGCAAGTAACTGTTCTAGGTTTGGATATATTCTTGTTTTTTCTTTGTTCCAATAGTGGATGAAGACATGCATTTTAAAAAGATGCTACTTAACATCCAAAAATTTAACCTGGTCTCCAATAGCATAGTGAGATTGTTAATGAGGACTGGCCAGCTTGATCATATTAAGCCAATACTTTTTCATCTGCACTGCCATGCAGTGCATTTCTGGTCCCAGTTCTAACTTCAGGCATTGACATTCACAGCTCTAAATCGCTTGGGACCATGTTACTTGGGATCATATACAGGGAACATATGAAAAGAACTTCCCAGAGAAGTTTGCCTGGTGCCTATGTTGTGCTCTTTTCAGCATTTGATAATACTTTATTTCCCCTGATACTTTAGTTGTTTTTTATCTGATGTGTTGTTATTGTTGTTGCAGTTGATGCATTTATATCCTCTTGTGAGGAACTCAAGGTGGCTTACATAGCTGCATTTTAACCTCACAGCAGCAACCCTGTGAGGTAGGTGGGACATACCAAAGTCATCCAGTAAGCTTCATGGCTAAGTCTATTAATGTATTTTAAATCTGCATTGATATTAGGTTATATTTTTGCTTTTATTTTATATTGTAATTTTAAACACTTTAGCATGTATATGGAATGTTACTGTGTTGTATGTTGTGTTTTAGTTATGTGTGTTGTATTTTGTGTTTTAGATCCCTGAGCCATCAGGGATCTTTGGTTATTAGGTGGTGCAGAAAAAAATGGGTAACTTACCCCCTTAATACTTAGTAAAATTGTGTTTTTTCTTTTCCCACTCCACTTCTTAAATGCATAGTCTTTTAGGAAAGTGAATTCTCACTTGAGAGGATGCTGGTAAATGTACTATTCCATGTACAGGGGTCAGTGTTCTGCTTTTATAGAAAATCAAAGTTCAAGAGGAAGGCGAAATGGTTGAAGAAATATAGCTCCTTATACTGTGATTTTAAAAGGGGGCATTATGTTGTTCTTTCGTTGTCATAGCACTATGAAGACAGCAGAGATTTCTTAAAAATATATAAGTTGGGAACTGAAATGGAAAAATAGCACCTTGGAATCACTCAGTTCATAAATGAGCTTGAGTCTGAACCTACTTATCCTAGAATCTGACTAAAATTTTATTTGTTCTGTTCTATTTTCAAATTATAGTACGGAATCAGACAACTTGTGTTTCAGTATCATTTATTCTAGTCTATGATTTGGACTCTCAAGGGAATTTTGAATTTTAGAATATTCTTCTTTCCTACTTTGAGCTGATTCTGCAGCTTTCTTTGACTTACATCAATTCAACAAAAGGTTAAAATATGTCATGTTACATACTTCATAAATACTTGAAAAGTTTTTTCCAGTAGTCAAAAGTGATCCAGTTCCTTGTTCTAAGTGGAATATTTGCTATTACTACCATTTAAAGCAGGGGTCCTCAAACTTTTTTAACGGGGCCAGTTGAAAGGTGGCGGCGATGGGTGCGGGCCGCCAAGGCGGTGCGGGTGGGGGGGGGCATGCGTGTGATCTCCTTGGGAGCAAGCTGCTGCTGGGCACGCACACTGTGAGGCAAAGGCTTGCTTGCAAGGAGATACTTTTCTCCGAGCGAGTCCAAAACGATCTCTGCAAGAGCAGGCCCCCGCCTTTCCACGTGTGTGCTCGTGTGTGCAGAGAGTCCAAAACCTCTATGGTGGACCGGATCCAGCTTGTAGGCCGTAGTTTGAGGGCTTATGATTTAAAGTGTTAAAATTCAAAAATTACTTTAGGGAATGATTTCTGTTGGAATATTTGTAAATATTTTAAGACCATGACAATAGCATGTGCTTCTTTTATTTAGAATAGAAGAACACAATGAAAGCAGTAAAACTGATCAATCCTTCCTTGAGAGAAGGGGTGTTTCCTGCTGTGTCAAAGGAAGTGGTGGTTCAATCCCTTAAAAATGGGTCCCACAAATTGGAATAATTGCTATCCAATATTAAACTTGCCTTTATTGGGCAAGGTGCTAAAGCAGGTGGTGATGGTTCAATCCCAGGATGTTTGGGGTGGCACCAACTTCTGCCCTGTCTGGAAACAATGAGCAGTAACATTTCCCAATGGCATCAAATGACTTAGAGTGGTTAAAACTAAACAGATTGTGATGAGCTCCAAAAGGATCTTTCCAGACTAGG